AGCAAACGCGCCGGGGGCGGTGGGGGGGACTCAGGTTAGGATGGGGGCTGCCAGCCCCAGCCCTGCCCGTTCCGTCCCTTCCCGAGTTCGGGTGGCTGCCGATGGGTGCTTGGCCAGGGGCTCAGGTCACCCCAGGGGGCTTGAGCTGCCTGGGGAGGGGGCAGCAGCCCCTCTTATGGAAAAGCCGCTCCCGAAAGAGGATGCTGCCGGCTCCCCTGGGAACTTCTCCAGCCGGGAGGAGAGATGGGACAGCCGAGGAGGAAAGCCAAAGCGGCGGGTGCCCCTCACATTTCTTTAGGGAATTTCTCTGTGTGGATTCACCAGGGTTTGGCTAGTCCTGCAGGAGACCCAGCCTGCTGGCAGCCCCCGGAGAATCCCGGCGGCTCTTGGACAGACCCAGGGTGTCTCCCACCCCTGCCCCTCTCCCAGCGCAAGTGCCCCCCGGGTGAGCCACAGCCCTGACCTGACTCTCCTGCCAGGGAGGGCTCAGCTCGGCAGGTCCAGGTGTCATCGCGTGTGCCTGGATCAGGGTGCATGTGTCTGTGCATGTGTGTGCAAACAGAAACGCCTGTGCATGGCGAGGTGATCCTGGGGGGCACTGAGCACCCCAGGGTGGAGCAGGAGATTTCAGGTCCTCCGTGCGGGGCAGAGGGATGCTCCATGTCTCACCGAGCGTGTGGCTGTAAAACGGGTGCAAAAGTGAGCAGGCGTGTGCCTGTGTTTTGGTTTCTGTGCCTTTTTTCGGAGCTGGCGTGTAAATCTGGGGCATGAGGCCACGTTCCCCTCGGAGCGGCTCGGCGGTGTGGTGGCGGGCTCGGGGTGCTGTGCCGGGTGGCTGGTGCCCGTGCTTCAGATGGGCAGCTGCGTCCATCTGTAGGCATGGACACTTGCTCCAGCCCCGCAGCCCCGCATCGTCTGGGCGCAGGGCAGCCTGCGCCTAAACGCGCGCCCACACACGCGTGGGCGTGCGAAACGGGGGCGAGGGAGAAAGGAGAGGACAAAGATGCAGAAGTTGAGAGGCTGAAACAGGGGAGGACTTTGTGCCAGGCTGAATGCTGCTAATATTCCCCAGCCAAATGAGGAGACCAGGTTGCTGCTACAAAGTGCAGCTCCTCGGAGGCGAGCGGACCCCCGGTCCCAGGACATGCATGTCCATCCCCTCGGTGTCAGGGCGGCTGTGAGGGGCTGGCGGGGAGCAGCAGGTCGGGGAGCAGGTCTGGTGTGGCGGGCGGGGGGACGGGCACCCGCCGGGGAGCTGGTGGCAACGTGGGGTTTGGGACCTGCTTTTTCCAGAGGTTTCTCGGCTCTTCTGGGCTCTGAGGCTC